GCAAAAGGAAAGAAAGCAGCATTTGTTTTTGTGGTTTATAGAAAACATGAACGGCTTACCATTGCCTCCATATCGAATCTACGGAGGAGTTGTTCCGTTTCGTCTGCCTCAGCAGAATACCATTTCAAGCGAGGATCTCCTTTCATCACTGCATCTGCAGTGCTTTTTAATTCTTTTTCTGTATAACCAGAAGAAGCAAACGCCTCTGGCCTGCAGTATTTTCTTGGGCTGATCGGTGCGGTTGCCTTCGGCTCCTGCGTCGTTGCTGCAGCCCCAGCAGCAGCAGCAGCAGCAGCAGTAGCAGTAGCAGCAGTAGCAGCAGTCGAAGGGGGCGGTACACGGTGTTTAGTTTTCCTCCTATCAAGCTTAGGAGTAACCAACGGAGATCCCAGTGTAAAGGGCTTCGATGCAGAATCCTTAGAAGGTGTACGCGGCTCTGATGGGCTCCTTGGCCTGGATCGTGGTGTTCTCATTTCATGAATTTCGTGTTGAGGGAAACGACACGGGCGACTGACTTCGATCACATCTTCATCAGAAATGTTACTGGGCGCCACTGGCGCTTTCTTCAGAGCCATATTCAACAAAAACTTCAACTTGAATTCAGCTTTCCACCAACTGTACTCGCAGCGATGCAGAGCCAAACGAAACAAACAAGAAAAAAAAGAAAGTTAAACTCGCAGTTTTCCCACTCGGAGGCCGCATCTGTTCTTAAACATTGCCAAAATTGATAAAAATGAAGAAAAATGACGCCGAAGGAAATTCAGTTTCAGAAGTTTCTGTACGAATACCGTGCACTGATGAGTGGAAAGCGAGAAGGAATACGCGAATTCTTCTGCTCCAGGTAGATATAAAGAACAAAATGCTGCAATTTGGTTCAAGAAAACTTTCAGGTTCCCGCAGAAGTTCAGAGAAAATGACAACAACGGCAAACAGAAAACCACGGAAGGATCAGAAGATCGCGGTATGCACATGCGCCTCAAACACGACAACTCTGGCGAAACTTCTGCTCCTTTTACCCGTAATAAGAATTCACAAACACATTTTAACTCATCTACGAGTCGAATATTTAAATTTCTCGGTTTATTTTGTCAGTTTCCCTGTTCTCTGCTGCCCCGGGGCTCCTCGCATGCACTGCCTGTACACCGCAGCCCCGCTGCAAGTTTCTGAACGAGCAGAGAGAAAGCACTCGACTATATATGTTTCTTGTTTTTGTTTTCGGTGATTTTATTACGGAATTGTTTATAAATCGTTTTTTTATCGGCACAAACTGAATATCACAGCGCCGCTTTCCCTGCGTCCTCATTCGTATTTCAGAGCAGTTTCCAGTTTCTAGCCTTAGCCACGTCAAGTTGAATTCATCTTTGATGGTTTCTCGTTGCTTCAAGCTTTCTTTCATGGAGTAGGCAGCGGATCAAAGCCCTGATTCCCCTGCTCTTCTCCCCCCCCCCCCCCCCCCCCCCCCC